TAAATAAATATAACATCAAACGGTTAAATAATTGAAACAGTAAATATAATAATCATAAAATCAAAATTATACATATATACACCAACAAATTTAACTGAAAATAATTAAAATGATATGGAGGCAAGATGGCGAAACTGATAATATAAATGTTATTAAAATCACTGTTTGCTTTGCATTATTTAGGGTAGTTTCCACCGCATGTTTGAGATGCTACACTTCGAGTGTATCTCTGCGATATACCCCCATCCTGGATTGACTATCGCTTACAGTTTTCACTAAACTGTAATTCATTTTAACTATAGTTTAGTGAGACAAGCCAGTTTCTTAAACTATGGTTGAAAGCTGGCTTGTTCGCCAATGTTAAGATTGGCCTTCTTTGTCCAGGTTCAAACTTGCTGTGGCAAATCCAGAATGAAAAGGGGGGAAAAGAAAAGGTTTCCAATTTCCTCTTTGTGGCTAAACCAATGGAAGAAGGGGAATGAATAAAATTCATCCCTTCCTCCCCCTGCAGCAATTTTCTCCCTTACTTCCCCTCCCTCTCATTATTCACCCTTCTCAACCCCTAATCTAGTCTTGTAGCAGAACTGTCGGCTGCTACGCATTGTGAACGAGTCCTTATTGCTCTTCTATCACAAGCCTGTCTTTCACAGCAGCCCCCATTTTACCCAACAACTTCTAATTACTCAAATATTGTGACTGCCCTTCAGTAATCCAGACAGATAAGGTCAGGCCTGGTGCCTGGCTCATCTGATCACCAACATGGTATTAATCAGCCTGCAAAATGCTACGGACTCATTCCGCGGCTCCTACAGGTGCGCTAAGCCTTGTTATTCCTTCTGCGCAAAATGTCAATTTGTGAACTAATTTGTTCCTTCTGAATCATCTCTCGCCCTTAAAAAGAGTCAAGATAACCTCAGACGAGACGGCTATCAAGGCTACGATTGTTCCGAATCGGCTCAGGTTAAAATGCATCAGATATTAATAGGCTTCTCTATTCTCTCAACAACGCTCAGGTTCTCGTCAGTTAAATAATTACACTGAACTGGCATACATAGTCGCTGGGAGATAAATTGAGGCTGACGGTGCACGTATGCAGATATGACAAACAGATCACAATCGCTAACATTTAGGAACTTCACCAAATACAGAACGTTTTCTAAGCACACAAAGACTGGCTGTTTACTAAAAAGAAAAGGGTGTAGCATAGTAAACAACATGGAGGAGGTGTGGGCCAATAAACACTGCCTGCTTATTCTACATTTATCAATAAATTGTCAGAATCCACATGAATGGTGTAAGTGCACTGGTGTAAGTTGGGGTGTTTGAACAGGGCGTAACTGAAAAATTCCTAGTCACATGCTGAGTCACAAAACAGGCACACTACTAGGAATTCAATCAGGAAATCGTTAATTAGCAGCTATTTGCTGATTTGAGGTACACTAAGGCACTTGATGCATCCATAAATGTTCGATTAAGTTCTGCATTTTATTTGGTTCATATACATTCATTGGCTGAAATTCTATCTACACTGGAGTAAGTCCACTGACTTATCAGTGGGGATTTGTTGAGTCAGCTCCTGTGCAGATTCCATTGATTCATATTGGCTAACTCTAGTTGTGACTCCCTACATTAAAGTAAGTTGCAACTAGAATAGGCCTGCTTGAATCAATGGCACTTACAAAGGAGTTGATTCACCAAATCCCCACTGATCCAATGGGCCTATTCTAGTGTGGTTTCCTAATCTAAGTACAGTAACAGAATTTCAACCATAATTTATGGATACAAGAGGACCACAGAAGATTTGTTCCCCCCCTCCCCACGGATGCAAAAATAATTACCGTAAAACTTTGTGGAACATTATCCAGTGCATGGTCTCTGGCTCCCTCTAGTAGCCAGTCATGGTGAATACACCCTAGAAATACATAGAAATACATATTTCTGGGTTTTTTAATTTAGATTGAATTTTCAGGCAGCGGATAAGTGAATCAGTGGATACTGATACCGTGGATAGGGGATCCTACTGTACACAGATTAAACAAATGGAAAATAAATACTTTTGGAGGCCATACTAAATTTCCAAGCTCAGCATTTCAGTCCAAACAAAGAGTTGGGCTGGGCAGTTTTATGGCATTTGAGATGATCCAGTGCTTGGCTAGAGCACACCATGCACACCCTCCAACATTTATCCAATAATTTGGAAAAATATTGGCATTGTGGTTCACAGACAACAATTAAAGAAAGGAAAAAGTCCTCATCCATGAATCTCCATGCTGCCAGTTATGGAGTTGCGAAAGTTGGAAGAGAGCATTGGCTTCGAAAGTAAGGCAAACCTCAGTAAGGTTGTTCAAATTCTGACGACACCATATTGCTCCATAAAAACAGCACTGCAATTTAGAGAAACCTGTGTATTCTCCTTGACTTTGGACACATCTTGCAAAGAAGGCCATTCTGCTAGTGTTAGGACCATCAGTCTGAAGAGATGCCAGGTAAAATTTGTGCTTGGAATTGAGAAACTCCTGGGGGGGGGGGTGTAGGGAAGTGTTAGAAGAGGGCAGGAATCTTCTAATTCTTTTAAACTAAAACCTGTGGACCATGGGAACTGGCAATGAACACTTTTTCCTGTCTTGCTGCTTGCCCAAGTCGATTTGAAGGCGGCAATTCTGGCCTTAAAATCTGGAGGCAAATCTCGAGCAATGTGGGAGAGACAGACACCACCACCCCACAGGCTGATCCGTACTCTTCTCTAAACCAATCCGTTCAACATGTTGGCAACCGTAAAGCAATAAAATGGAATAAGCCTGGGAGGGAAAGGGGAGGCAAAACATGGCAGCGCTTTAAAGACTGACAGGTTTATTTCAGTGTGAGCTTTGGTGGGAAAAAAAGCCACTTGAGAGAAAAGCTGAGACTTAGCGTAGGACGCATCCACCTTGGAATGACTAGCATAACGGGGCGAGAAGGGACCACATCAGTGTTCCTGTGCATGTTCTCCCCCCCCCCATCGGCAGCCTGAATAGTCCCCTTATTTGTTTTTATTTATTTAATTTGTTTTTTTTAAAATCTACACACCACCTTATTTATGTATTTATACACCAAGGCAGCTCACAGCATGAAAAAGAACAGAATTAAAAACGTAATGTTAAACCCTAAAACCAATTAGACCATACGTGAATGAAAATACAATTGGATAATTAAAAGCAAGGAAACATCAAAAGCGGTCTTAACTTTATAAAAAGGCATTCGGGGACTCAGTCATGATTGTTAAAAGTCTGACTGAAAAGATGGGTTGGTGGAAGGATAGAAGGGAAGGGGGGGCTTCCTGATCTCCTGAAAGAGAGCATTTCATAATCTGGGAGCTGCTACCGAGAAGGCCCTCTCTCGGATCCCCATCAGCCGTGCCAGCGCTGGCAAGGGGAAAGAGAGGAGGACTTCCTCTGATGATCTTAGGTGCCGAGAAGATTCCTATGGGGAGATATGGGAGCCTGGACACAAGCTATATAGGGCTTTATAGGCAATGATCAGCACTTTGAATGGGAAACAGACTGGTAGCCAGTCCACTTGTAAAAGAGGAGTTAGGTAAAGGTTCCCCTTGACATTTAGTCCAGTTGTGTCTGACTTTAGGGGCCAGTGTTCATCCCTGTTGCCAAGCCATAGAGCCAGCATTTGTACGTAGACAGTTTCCGTGGTCATGTGGCCAGTGCCACTAGATACGGATCGCCGTGACCTTCCTACCGAGGTAGTACCTATTCATCTACTCGCATTTACATGCTTTTGAACTGCTAGGTTGGCAGGAGCCGGGACAAGCGATGGGAGCTCACTCCGTTGCGTGGATTAGACTGCTGGCCTTCTGACCTTGCAGTACAGAGGCTTCTGCAGTTTAACCTGCAGCGCCACCACATCCCTGTTTTTAAAAAAGGGGTGTTACATGATCCCAATAACTGGCCCCAGTCAGTCCATCTTGCTGCTGCATTTTGAACCAGCTGAAGTTTCTAAACCATCTTCAAAGAGTGTGTTCCCTTAATCCAAGCAGGATGTCACTAAGGCATGTGTCACTGCAGCCAAATCAGACATCTCCAGGAATGGGTACAGCGGGCACACCAGCTTTAGCTGTGCAAGAAGCACCCCTGGCCACCACCAAAACCTGGGTATCCTTGTTGAGGGACGAATCCAAGAGCATCCCTAAAGCTGCGACCCAGAGTTTTCAGGAGGAGCGTAACCCCATCCAGCACAGGTTGCATCCCTCTTCCTTCACCTGCCTTCCTTCCGATTGATTGGGAGCATTTTTTTAAAATCTACACACCACCTTATTTATGTATTTATACACCAAGGCAGCTCACAGCATGAAAAAGAACAGAATTAAAA